ATAATAATAATAATAATAATAATAATAATAATAATAATAATAACAACAATGATAATAGTAATAACAATTATGATGATATATGATGATAATAATAATGATAATAATGATAATGATGATACTAATGAAAAGAATAGTATAATAATGAAAATAAAAACAATAATGATAATAATAATAATATCAATAATAATAATGCTAATAATAATAATAATAATGATAATAATAATAATAATAATAATAATAATAACGATAATGATAATAATAATAATAATAATAATAATAATAATAATAATAGTAACAACACAACAACAACAACGATAATAATGATGACAACAATAATGATAATAATCATAAAAAGTAGAAGAACTAATATTATAATAATAATAACAATAACAGTGATAATAACAGTAATGAGGATAATTATGATGACACTGATATTAATAATGATAATCATGATGAAAAACATGATGATGGTATTAATAATGATAATGATGATGATGGTAATGATAATAAAAAATGATATCAGTAACGAGAGTATTACTGATAATAAAAATAGCAGTAACAGTGATAATAAAGATGATGATGATGTTGAAATGATTATGATAATAGCAATAATAGTAATAATTATGAAAACAATAATAATGACGATAATGATAATGATGCTGACGATAATGATTATAATAAGGATATCAATAATGATGAAAATAGCAATGAAACAGTTTACATAACATGACATTATGTATAGTATCACAAGTATTTGTTGAATATTAAGCACCTGATTTTAACCAGCTCGCCGCGATGATCATTCCACACCCAACTCCTCGATTTCGGGAAGTCAGCGACGTCACTCATTGCATATTTATTGTTGAATTAACAGAAAAAAAGTTATTTCCTTTTACTCTAACGTGGAGCGAGATTCCGGGACGCGGTAACCATAGCAACGTGACATTCGTTGATGAGGTAATTTTGATGTTTTGTGGTGCATTTTCTATATATCGGCATGGAGATAGATTATATTTAGTTGTTTATATACGTTGGTGTAAATCGACTCTGTTGGTTGAGAATTTGCAAGAAGGCATAAACTGTAGTTGAATTACATGACTTGTAGAAATCATGACAAAGACCACAGGCCATTGTAATATCGACTCTCCCTTTTCACATTACGGTTAAGAACAGTCCTCTAAATCTTCATAATAGACGAGTTTTGAAGCCTATATACCCATTATATTACCCAACCCTTCCAAACTACCTCTAAAAGGAAAAAAATACAATAGTAAAAAAAAAAATCCATCCTCGTTTCGCATCCCGCCATTCACCTTTTTCGTTTTAAACTCGTCCCAGTCCCTCATCCTTATTTCCCAATCCCATTCCACGTGCAGAATAAAGCGACAATCCCCATTTACCCAAAGACTCATCTAACTTCCCGAAATAATTAAATCGCCATATTTAATAACCCTCGTATCCCCCAGTGTAGACTCATTAAATTGCCATATTTAATGCCCTCGTTTCCCCCCGTGTAGACTCGTTTCGGACTCAGAGACCGCGGGATCAATATGTAAAAAGCTAGCGTGTGAGCTTCAGTGTGTTGTTTACAATCATGGCTGGCTCTCGTGTCTCGTGCGGCCTCGAGTGTTGTAATGTCTACGAGATAAATGACAGTCTGCAGGAATCGTCAAAGGCTGGGTGAGTTCTCGGAGGCTAAATGGCTATAATTCCGGTAGAAATAACATAACGAGAGAGCTGTGGTGATCTTAAATAGGGGTTATTTGAGGCGCGTGATAAAGAGGCGGCGAATTTCGTATCTGTGAAACCTGTAGCCTCGCGTGTTTAGTTTTTTTTTTTTTTTAACGTATTTCTTTTAAGATTGAAGTGTGGATTTGTTAACGCTTTGAGTCGCTTTCTCCGTAAGTTCTTTGGGGTTGTGGTCGTGTTCGTTTCCTACTTAAGGGAAGGGTTAGATTTTTCCGTCTTATATTTGGTACTCTTGGAGATCACGTTTACAACCTCATTCATTCAGTAAATGTTTCTAAGGCAACTAATGGGTGATTTTTTTTTTCAATGGATGTTCCCACTAGTATTGTTCTATCCAAATCTTTCCAGTTTATTTGGGGGATATATGCAAAAATCTTACATTAAAACCTGAGTGATTAAGGTGGAAATACAATGCTCTCGCTTGTTACTGTAGAACTTAGGCAGCCAATTAATTTATTGGTAAAATCTATATTATTTGACAAATTCAAAGACCCCCTGGACTCCTGTGGTCTTCATTCAATTCATCCTAACCTGTTATCCAACATAATCAAGCCCTGTGGGATTTATACAATACAGTAATTATATAGTCCCAAGCCAGGGGAGTCTGCCCCAGGACCTCCATTATACAATACAGAACTATACACCCAACCTAACTGCCTAGTCAAGGAGCCCCTCCCTGAATCCCCTGGATGAGCAACCCGAAATGGATGGGAGATATAATTTCCCTACATCAAATAGAATTTAAATGTTTTTACCACATCTACTTCTACAAAATTTGAAAATCACACAGTTTACCTATAAATAATGAAACATCAAACTTTTCTTCACTTCCATCTCCTGCCTGATTTGATTAGTTTTTACTCACCATTTTTTTTTTTTTTATTCATTTGGGACACTTTTGATGAGTTCTTATATATCAAACTGTGATAGTTACTAATGTCTGCATAGCCATTATAATATTTTTTTTTTTTTTTTAATGTCTTGGAATCATCTGGAAACAAAACATTTCTTACTGTTGTTTGTCAAGGCATTGCATAAATAACTGTTTTAACACATTAAAGCATAATGATAGTAAAAGAGTGCATTATATACATAAATTAGGAAAAGCAGGCATAGATAAGTATAAAATCATTTTTACAAGCATGTAGAAATACATGAATGACTTGATAGATTGCAGTAACAAGTTGGGCAGTTAGAGTAGTGTTTATTGTCGCAGTGTAAACATGGTGAGGTACTTAGATAAAGATGGTTAGATCTTCTCTCTTCTCTGTCATGCATCGCCTTTATTTTCGATTTGTGCAGGAAATGCCAGTGATGAGAAGTGTCTCAGCTTTCATCAAGGTTAGCTGGAAATCCTGACTGTCATGCATTGAAAATTTTGTATCCCTGTTTTTTTTTTGTTTTTTTTTATTATTATAAGCAAGCTAATTTATAAATAAAGTCGTTAAAAAACAAGTTAAGGTGAAAATAGAACGGTTGTTACTCAAGAACTGGTGCTGTCAGAACCATAAAACCCCACACATGTATAGCACACAGAGAACGGAAGCCTTAGTTGTTATGACAAGTATCGATATGATCACAGATTTATGATATTTACAAAGTCAAGAGATTTAAATATCAGGTGATGCCATTTGCATTCCATTAAAGGCCAATAAATCTACATATTCCACTAAGACTTTGCTTGTGGATCTCTTTTAAGTTCTAATGTCAAATAAGGAACAATAGTCTTTATTGCCAGAATGTACTTGATGGAGATTTGTTGGTCTTATCCAGAATTCAATAAAGATTTGACAGCATGATTTGGTCTGATTGCAGATAATCATTTTTAGTTTACTGATTTACGTTTTCACATGTTCTTCAATCTCAAGAGTGACTTGAGGGTCATTGCTTTACAGATTTGTCGTTTTATCATTGAAAGAACTACAACAATATTATGGGTGACTTCTTTATTCTTCCAGATATGATTTCCTGTCTATCCCTTTGGCACATCCCCGATTCACAAGAGAACATGTAGAGGGTAAAGCCAAAAACAGACCCGGTGCTTTTACGCGCTCCGATCTCCTCCTGAGCAGTTCAGGTGAGGAATAACTTAGTCTTTGACAGTTTCTTGGTTTGGTATAAACTTTTCTGAATTCATATTAAGAAGAAATTTTATGTTGGATCTTTTAGTGTATTATGTAAATTTTTTTGTGTTTTCTGAAATAGTATTGAAAGTTTGCATGTTCCTAATACATAGAGTAGTATTGTTCATGTTTCTAATTATTTCTTCATGGAGCCCTGTCTTGATTCTCAAAATTAATCTACGTATTATTAACAGTAATTAACCCTTTCTTTCCATAAAATTAAAAATATAAGGAGCAACTTCTCCCATATTATCCTACATTCCTTGCAGAAATTTCTTATAAAAGAGCATCGTTCTTCTCTATTTCAGAATGGAACAGCCTGATCGTGGGTCGGCTGAGCACAGGCCCGATCCTGAGCCTGGAGTCGTCCAACAACAGTCTGCGTCAGAACAGCGAAGACACAGTCACCCAGGAACTCACCTTCGCCGCCCACCTGGGTCTGCCAGCCATTATGTTCACCCTCACGACTGACAGGTGCTGCAACATCGCGCGTCTTATTCACAACAGAGTTGTTCAGGGTGTCTGTTACCAGGTGTGTGGCTCGTGGCTGGTGTTGCGTATGTGGGAGATGCCTTTTTTTTTTTTTTGCTTTTTGTTCTGTGCACCATGGTAGCTTTTAGGGTTTTGGAGTAATGGTGTCTAGGTTTAGTGTTCATGATATATCTGCTTTTGAATTAAAGTTACTAATGTCATTATTGCTGTTTTTCTCTCTCTCTCTCTCTCTCTCTCTCTCTCTCTCTCTCTCTCTCTCTCTCTCTCTCTCTCTGTGTTCTGTTCTTATACATGAGTCATATTGCAGGTTTGGGTCAGAGTTCCAATGCAGGCGCCAGAGGAGTTGGCAGCACAGTACCGCTCAGACAAATCTCCAAGTGAAGATGGGTTTGGAGTCGACACTTGGACGTGGTGGAACAGGTAGGGCTCAGCAGCTCTTGTTAAATTTATATGTAGATATTTTTTCTTTCTTTCTTTCTTTCCCCCCCTTCCTTCTTCTTCTTCTTCTTCTTCTTTTTTTTCTTCTTCTTCCTCTTCCTCTCCTTGATTTTCTCTTTCTCTTTATATTTCTCTTTAGTCTTTCTTTTCCTTTCCCTTTTCCCTATTCTCTTTCTTTTCCTTTCCCTCTTTTTCTTG